GTTTAGTACTTTGCTATTATTACAGTTTTATTATTATTTTAATAAATAAATATAATTCAAATCATATCGTGTTTGGTACCATTTTAATCAGAAAAATCTCACAAATGCGTTAGTAAAAGTTTCATTAAGAAAAAGTTAAAAATAAAAAAGTTTTATCGTTTAATTAGTATTAGTCACACCGATATTACGGTTACTTCTAAAACATTCCTGTTGCGATAAAATTCAGTAAATTTGATACAAAGATATAAAATATGAGTGAAAGAGGTGGATACCATTGTTCCTTCAAAGGGTGCCAAAGTGCAAGCAGTGACAGCAGTAACAGGCGTTCTGGGACTCCCTATATTTTATATCTGTCAAATGATATTTATCCAACGTTTCTTGTACATTTTAGATATAAACATTATTATTATTATCATCATTGTTTTATCAAAATATTACCGCTCTATGGGTTGTTTATTAATTTCTAAGATATGCTGTATACATTATACATTTGTATATAATTTATTAGGACTTTATTAATTGAATAATTGTTGTATATAATAATTGTATTGTACAGAGATTTCAATAAAATGTGTATTTTAATTAAATGTAGATATTTAATAGTCTTTTTATGGTATTCTATTACGAAATTTCTTTTTGATTGTACCGAGTGCTTTTCAAATTAGAGCCCGCGCACAACCAGCAATATGGCGATCTATTGGTTATGAGATCAAAGGTGCCGACACGGAGTAAGCCTACTGTTCTTTCCTATACTGTGGTCCAGCCGTCGGCTCGCGTAAAGGTGGTGTACGCGACCGCGAATCACGCGTTTTTGCAGGGGACGTTTCCCGTTTATCATCCGCTTGCATACTCGGTCTCGTATGCATATGTTGAGGATGCGCGCAACACGGGCACGTTCGCTCCTCTGTAGTCGATTCTTTCCTGTGTAATATTCTGACAGGACTCGGTGTTATATCGCGCGGATATGACGTGTTACGCGACGTTTTCATAGATCGAATGGGCGAACTATACCTGGGGTACGCGTAACTTCGATTCCTATTTGGACTATCATTATAACGCGGTCGGTAGTCGTAATCGTCATTTCCACGGTAATCGCGTTCGTAAGATGGACGATGGAGATCGTACGATGTGGATGGTCTATCTTTTAGGCGCGTTTCTACTTTCAGAGCGATATCTAATGCGTCTACTAACTTTTTCGGGTCTCGCGCTTCCACGGCTCGACCTATTTCATTTAACGCGGTGGTCGTTACGGGCTCCATGATATCGGATGGTCGGCCTCTGTATTCGATCTTAATGAAATCCTCTATCCCGACCAATAAAGCTCGAATTCGGTCATAATACGCGTAGACGGATTCGTCTCGGTACATCCGAATATTGGCGATTTTGAAATAGAAATCATTATACGTTCTATCCGATGTGAATCGACGTTTCAAGTGTTTCACCAATTCCGAAACGGTTTCAAATTTTAGTCCTTACACGCTGTCGCGAGCTTCCCCTCTTAATTTAGAGATTACGAGTTGTACAAAACTACGCGTCGACGTTGTCGGGAGACTTCCCGCATTAAATTCTACTTCTGCAAGAAAATCTCTTAGTCGGATGTTTTTCCCGTCAAAAACCGGTACATGTTGAACGGCCTGCTGGACGGCGATACTTCTATTACCGAAGCTGTGAAAACCGATTCGTTACCCTCCCCGGTATTAGTTCCGTCTAATAAGCTTGCAATGCCCGTGCTTTTGCTGGGTCCTGCCTCAGTCGGATTTGGCATTTTGACAAAATATGCAAATATTCAAAAATATGCAAAAATGTGTTCAATTGTACGCGAAATGCAAGAATATACACAATATATATATGAAAATTACACAAAAATCAATATAACATATAATATTCAATTTACGTGATAATTGTTCATTAATCGGACAGTTAGTCCGACAATAAGTGATAAATTATCAGAAATCAAATCGATAAACCGACAAATCAATAAATCTTGCAAAATGGAACTTTTAAATAATAAATAAATAACGAATAAATAAATATGACAAAATACAGTTAATTAAAGATATTAATAATTAAATCAGATCAATTATAGTTTCAATGAACAATTATCACACATAACACACATAAATGAAATACACAATAAATATATAAATTGTAACACAAAATATAATACTGTAACGACCCAGAGATAGGTACGTCACTGCCCCGACGTATAAGAAGAGCGGTTCCCCAAGAAGGCGACTCGTATGAATGTATTAGGGATTATAGGTTCGCGTGGTGTGCGGTTGAGGAGTAAAATCCAAACATTAATGTGCTAGACTAAAGATTTATTCAAATAGGTAAGTAATTTATAACTGAATATGCTAGTTCTGAGTATAATATATAATAATAACGTTAGTATAACAATATGTGCGGTTAGAATATGAAATATAATGAGAAATTATAATTAGTACGCCCTAGATTAGAAAATACAGTGAAAAATATATAATTAGTAGTTAGTATTAAAAATAGTACGCGCCTTAATCTACGGATACAGCCAACACTGTACAATCACCAACTACGCTAAGTATTGGAAACTGTACTTCAGTGGCTTGTACGGTACCCTCAGACACGAGCGGACTTTGCCTACAGGTCGCAATCGGTTTCTGGATTAGCCAGAGCTATGTTGATACAGGCCGTTTCAGGGAGCTCCGCTCCTCGCTAGCTCTTTATACTTGAGTATTGGCTTAGTACAAACACCTGGTTAACACGTTGCGTACCATGAGTAGGGTGTCCACAGATCTGAAGTCTCGCACGTCACCACTGAAAGAGAAGGATCAAGCTTACTCTTGCGCTCTATCGTTGCCTAAGCAATTCAGCGTAGAGCTTTCCTCTACTACCAGAGTGCTGTCTGTATTCGATCGAAGTCGTAGATGATCTGTTCTGACACCGCGTGGAACGCCTCTATTTATAGTCAGATTCTGCTGACTTAGCGTTTTTTTTCTGCATAGAATTCCTTTCGACTTCTGGAATTCTCCATCACGTGTCTCTCAAGCACCCCTACATCCTAATCTACGCGGTCTCCCTACTCTAGAATCTCCACCCACCGCTAGATCATCGGGGTTGCGCTGACGCATATGCATTTGGATGTACATCATTTATCGATAATCCGACTTACCGACTGACTTACCGACTAAACGTTTACCGACTCATTGAGTAGACCAAATTAACTTTTGAAGTTTGAAATGAAAATTATTTATTCTTACAAAAATATATACAAATTAAATTAAACGCTTTAGCTGAGATAATAAAAATTAAATTAACACATTTGTATAACTTTAAACTAAAAATTGATTATAATAATCAAAATTATAAACAAAAAGTGCTGGGTCTTCTTAGCAGGTCGTTACAATACCGTAAATAGATATGCAATAATGAATAATATATATATATATAGGCACAGTGCGTAGCGAAGTGTGGCAAAAGGGGGTATCTGTATTCGTAACTTTTCCCGTATTTACCGCACTCGTGGCTCGAATCAATTAGAATAATTTTGAAATTGACACTTTGAAAATTCAAACACTTCCTAACTGCACAAATTGAACGAACGAGCATTGAAGAGTATCCCACCGCTGCCACCAAAATTTTGTTACGTCGCAAGCGAGATACGGCGCGCGACGTACAAAATTAAAAAAAAAGATTATTAATGGGTTGTTTGTATTATCAATTTTTGAGGTTAATGCGCGGGTGAGAAGGGTATTAGCGCTGCCAGCAGTCCTAACCACTTATGACGATCACTTGCGCGATCGTCCTCTATGATTAGAACAATTATAAAATATTTTTCAACAAAAAAAAAACCGACTTCGAAATACACTAAAAAGTGTAAAATAATTTCTATATCATTTATACCAGTATTCCACAGCTGTTCATAAATTCTACTTCATCATTAAATAGGATACTAAATACATTTCAACCTTTTCGGAGGCGGCGCAAAATGCAAAACTTTTCCTCTACTAGGAAGATCCTAGTTCAGGCGACGGTAACCTGTAACAAATGACCCATTTCATAATTTGAAGTAAACAATATTGAACGGGAATCAACATACCCATTGCGGATTAAGTATAGTGCAGTTCACGAGAAACCATACTTAACTCACGCAGGTTACTAGGTCTAGGGACATGTTTAATAACGCGTGTGATTTCCCTGTACAGCTTGCTTTTTACTGTACGATGATATAATTGTTTCTTTGAAAAAAAAATAATAGGAATTTCATTGTATCGTGTATCTGTACCATATCATCATCGGTTATCAGTTGTCGTACGTCATATATTTCTGTCCGCTATTTATTTGACTGGCAAGTAAGAAGCAAGGTGTAGAGGATAATCACACACGTTATTAAAAATCTCCCTAGACCTATTGAGCGAGTGAAGTGTGGTCTGTCGTGAATAGCAGTACATACATCAGAAGTGGTACCAACTTCTGATACAATCGTTGTAATTACAAATGTTTTGTGCCGTGTCTATAACGTTTGGAATTGTATTTCTTACGACTGATGAATTACCAATTTTGCCATACCGCAATGGAATCGTTATTAGCAGGATCGTATATTCTGGTATTTATAATTTTGCGCCGCCTCCGAAAAGGTTGAAATGTATTTAGTATCCTATTTAATGATGAAGTAGAATTTATGAATAGCTGTGGAATACTGGTATAAATGATATAGAAATTATTTTACACTTTTTAGTGCATTTCGAAGTCGGTTTTTTTTTTGTTGAAAAATATTTTATTTCACTGTTTTTTAGTGGTACGTTTAGTATTTGTAGGATGTCGTAAGGAAATAAAAGAAAACAATCTAAAATATATTTTTATTTGTTTTTATTTGTGAAATATTTGATAAGAAGAGAAGTAAAAAAAAAAAATTAGAATATAAAAATGCAAATGAGAATGATGATAAAAAAAATTAAAATGGTGATAAAATAAAATAAAAAAATTAAAAAGAATGAGAAATAAGAAATGAAATAAAAATAAAAAAAGAAAGTATAATAAATAAGGAATTAAATGTGAAATAAACTATAGAAAGAGAAATTTAAAATAAACTAAAATAATATTTGTTGATGGCGCCGCCCCTTCCGCCACCCCTTCCCGCACCCCTGCCGCCACCCCTCCCACCCCGCGGCCATCTCCCGCGATTTTGGCGGCGTCTAACGCCAGCAGCCGTTCCTCTCTCTGTACCGTAAAATTGTACATGTTAATATAGGTCACCCATTTTAGAATAATTTTTTATATTACTTGAGACGGAAATGTGTTAATAATTTTTTCGCTTATATCTGCGAAACTCACTTCGCCGCGGCTTCACATCTGCCTCAGTTTCGTCCGGGTGCTGCGGCTGTGGTTGTTGTTGCGGCGTTTGTTGCTGCTGCGGCGGTTGTTGCTGCTGCAGCATTTGCTGTTGCTGCAGCTGTTGCTGTAGCACCGCAACCTCCCTGTCCCTCTCCTGCTGCCGCGTCTGCATGTGCTGCAGCTGTTGCTGCAGCTGCAGCAATGCGTTCATAATTTCGTTTTCTGAAACAAAAAGGAGGTATGTAACATGCATGTTTTTGAATCATGCAGTATATTACTTTTTCACTGAAGTTGGAATTATACTTACGTTCATTTGTTTCAACGTTCATGTCGGTCATATTTCTGTGAGAAAAAAAGAATGTATTTTTTGAATAAAAAGAAAATAATCCGTTGGCATTTGTGGATGAAGTTCGTAAAAGTAATCACCCCTATTTCTTTAAAATTCAGTAATCTTACGTCTTTTATACGCTGATTACGAATATCGTAGACAATGCTATCGAACAGTGTTTACGAGCTGTGAACGGTTACATGTAATTTTTGAATATATGATATCGGAATGAATATGATAGTGAATTTGGCGACAACTTGATTTTCATTGTAAATAAAAAAAAATTAAATTTGTTTACGTTAATGTCACTGAATACAACTCCTTCTCAGAAACGGAAGCAGTACTGCCGCAAAACAGCAAATCCTAATATCCTGAAGTAATTGACTAAACGTATGTACGTTTATCTTGTCGCGTCGCCGCCACAATAATTTGTAACTAATAATGTTGTTGAAAGAATTTCTTATTTTTCGCGTAAGCGGTGCCGGCCGCGTTAGGATGGCCCAATAGTCGCCAATTTTTCGCTATGATATTCGTAATCAGTGTATCAACGAACGTAAGAATCTTTTTATTGTTTAAATCCAAAAAATGGGGGCTGAGTGGTTTTCCGAACTACACCCAACGAAACCACGAACCATTAACGATGAAATTAATATATGTTATATGTATAATATATATTATATAAAGAAATGAAATATTGCTTGTTATTTGGTACTTACGTCTGAACAGCAGCTCGTTCGGATTGAAAATGAACAAAATCTGTGTCTTCTAAAGGAAAACAGTTGATGGGGCACATTCCATGATCACATACACAAACAATTTTCGCTGTTGCGTCGTATAGATGCACAAATATCATCTAGTTCCTACATTGTTAGAAGTTTGTGCGACTGCTTCGAACGTAAAGAACGACAGCGATTGAATCAGAGGACGGAGCGAAAACAATCGACTGTATATCTGTAGAACAATACTAATGCAACGATGCAAGTTTTTTATTTATAATTTTTTGGGTTTAAAAGTGTTATGAACAGCTTTGTGATAATTTTCTGATGAAAATAAGACCAAACTGGAAGTAAATCGGACTAGTTTTTGTATTAATCAGTTTCAATTGATGAGGTGAATCATTACTAGCCAATGAAAGTAAAATTAAACCGATTTATGTCGTGTTGGTACTCATTTTAATCGGAATAACCTGAAGAATTCATTGATACTATTTTTTGGAAGATAAGACAAAAATTATTGAAAATGTAATGTTCTTTACTGGTTGGTGATATGTTTTACTCGCGGCATCCCTTTGGAATGCATCTATCTCGTTTTCTCGCGTAATACGTATTTTCTTTCCTTTTTTATGACGGATCCGAAGCTCTGCTGGGTTCCAGGAAATTGGCAGTAAGGCAATGTCAAGCAATTTTATCGGCCAGCGTAGGGGAAATGAGGGATCCGTTGCACACATCGCCGCTTTCTTAATTTTTTACACCAGCCAATTCAGTAGATGTAGGTGTTTCGACCAATAATATATTACGGCTGCAAGTCGTGTGAGCAAAGGCGGGGCACGAGCAATCCTACCCAAATTTTTTGCGACGGCCAAATTACGAACGGCGAACAGCAGTCAGTTTCAATTAATACCTTGCAACGGTGTTTTGCATTGAATTTTTTTTCAATATATTCTGTTGTAAGGTAAATTGTAACAAATATTTTTTTTTTGTTTTTTTTTTTTTACATTTATTTTGTAATAATTTATAAATAAAGAAGAGGGTCCAATTTTGCTTTCAGTAAGTAATTGTATTTGGAAACAAACGGACCAAGTCTGCTTGAAGCGACTTATTTATATAAAAGAAATGTGCTTGAAGCGACTAATTGTTAAAAGAAGTCTGCTATAAGGGAGCATAAAAGAAGTCTGCTTTAAGCGACTGATTGTTAAAACAAGTCTGCTTTAAGCGACTGATCGATAAAACAAGTCCGCTGTACGCGACTGATTGATAAAACAGGTCTGCTTTAAGCGAGTAATTGTGAAAATAAAAAAAGCGCAGCAAATCCTTTCTTTCAATCCTTCATCTTCACTGAAACCAGGTAGGTGTGCTATATGAAAGTATGGGTAGACGTACAAAAAGTGCATCCCGTATGAGACAGAGTCGTGCTAATGAATCAGATGATGCCAAACAATTACGTCTTTCAAAAAAACGTCAAATAACCGCAGAGGCACGGCGTCAAGAAAGTATTGATGAACGCCGTGCGAGATTGTCTGCACAGCGGAAATATGCTGTTTCGAAATTATCGCGCGAAACGGTCGATGAAAAAAAACGTCGGCTAAGCATAATTTCTCATCGTTTAAAGAACGAATCTGCCGAGCAACGGTCATGTCGTATCGAATTAATCCGCAGGCGTTTAGCGAACGAATCTGCCGAGGAACGATCACGCCGATTCCGATTAATCCGCAGACGTTTATCGAACGAATCTGCCGAGGCACGATCACGCCGATTCCGATTAATCCGCAGACGTTTAGCGAACGAATCTGCCGAGGAACGATCACGCCGATTCCGATTAATCCGCAGACGTTTAGCGAACGAATCTGCCGAGGCACGATCACGCCGATTCCGATTAATCCGCAGACGTTTAGCGAACGAATCTGCGGAGGAACGATCACGGCGTTTCCGATTAATCCGCAGACGTTTAGCGAACGAATCTGCCGAGGCACGATCACGCCGATTCCGATTAATCCGTAGGCGTTTAGCGAACGAATCTGCCGAGGAACGATCACGCCGTTTCCGATTAATCCGCAGACGTTTAGCGAACGAATCTGCTGAGGCACGATCACGCCGATTCCGATTAATCCGTAGGCGTTTAGCGAACGAATCTACTGAGGAACGTTCGCAACGTCTAATGGTTATGAGAAATCGTACGCGAGAAGTACTACTAAGTGAACGTACCGAATCACGAAATACGCGTTTAAGGAATATGCGTGAACTAGCGAAAAATCGAAGAAAAGAACTTCTCCTTCAGGTAGACAACTTTAAATCGACTATTAATATTTTTGCTGATGTACCATGTGCAGTGTGTTACAAGACTTTATATCCGCAGCAACGTTACGCTTTGCACGCGCAGCCTTTGTCTGGTCTAATTCCTGCAAATTTAATACAATCGGAGAAGATGACAACATGTTCTCGTTGCCTACATCATCTTAAAAAATACAAAGTTCCATCTCAGGCATTCTGGAATAAAATGGAACTAATGTCTGTACCTCAGGAGATAGCAGATTTATCGGAAATCGAGAAACAAATGTTGTGCCGAATAGTACCGTTTCTTAAAATCATGAAAATTCAAAATCGCTTCAGTCAGGATTGGTGCAAAGGTCAGGTAGTCCTATTTGCCCGCGATGTGTTCGAAGTAGCCGAGCAACTTCCACTTAGATTAAACGAAACCGGTATAATGATTGTAGTGGAAAGCCTCGAAAATTTTGAGCGACAAAGACAATTTGAAATAGACGTTGGCAAACTTCGAGTAGCTTTACAATGGCTATTACAAAATAATGCTTTGTACAAAGATGTGCGACCATGTTTTTCTAATATTAGCAATAACATTTTGGAAATAGCTGATGTCGTTGAAGAGCCTTGTATTGTAAGAAACGAAACGGAAGTTGCAGAAAGAAATTCTGAATCAAACAGTAGATTTGTGAATGTTGGACAGAATGTAGGTATTTTACGAGGCTCGTGCCATCAAGCTAGCGATCGCTTCAGTATTGAATCTCGCGGTAAGCAATGTACTGGCATAGCTGCAGTTGCTTGTGTTGCATTTCATTTGCTCGACCCTAGTACGTGGTGTACTAGTGATGTCGATTATATACTTTTAGTTGGAGATAAATATTACCGTGATTGCATTGAAGCGCGAAGTAATCCTGACCCCAGAGAAGTCAATGTAGACTATTTAGCTGTTACCGAATTATTGCCACACATATCATTTAATAACAACAGAGTCAATATTAACATTGGCTATGAAATGGCTGTAAATGGTCATATTGATATTGATAACGGCGATGAAGGATTTCCAAATTTAAAGAATGCTTTGATTACGTTTTTCCAACAGTATACGTACGGAATTCTTACTGCCAATTTTACATCAGTAGCTGTATCATGCGGTAACCAGTCGGAGGCTACCTACTATTGGTTGTTTGATTCCCATGCAAGAGGTCCAAAAGGATATAAAGCATCGTCACGGGGCGTCTCATGCTGTATGAAATGTACTAATATTGATGATTTACACATCATCTTGCGTCGTAATTTATATGCTAAAGGAGGCAATAGCAATGTGGTAAATATCTATTCACTAACACCTCTAACAATAGCACCCGAAAGGAATAGATCTGCTGAAATAGAAAGGATACAACAACCATCTGTTGCGACCGCTCGTAGAGAATCCGGCGCAACAAAAATTATTTTCGCCACAAGCATGTTACGTTCGACTGACGAAGATGTTCCCAACATCGACAGTATCGTCTCTGTCAGTAATAATAATAATAACGCAGAAAATGACCCGATAAACCTTGCGAATATGGACGACGCGTTTTGGACAAATCATATGGAACCTTTCCTAATGCGTTTCTACGAAGAATGCTTCCGGAAATATTGGACAGCCGCCACAATAGACACATGCCTATTAAAAATCCAGAATACATACTACGCGCAAAAGAAGACGCATCTATTCAAAAATCTAACAGAAAAATCGCAAAAAAGCATAAATATGAAAACATGACACAGAACAGTGTTGAAGCATGAAATATGACTGTTGAAGCAGTAACTAGGGACTGTGTCATTGTCAGTCGTTCAGTCCAGGAAGAAAACTGCACAGATGATGCTGTACGATACTATATATTAGAGACTGCTGTTTGTTCCGTAACTGACGTAAA